TTGAATAGAAACACCACTGCTTATTGTGTTTCTGCTCACACCGAGTACTTTCAGGAACTCGGGCAAATTATCGGTCTAAAGGATGCTGACGATGATAACGCAGTAGAACGAAGTGTTCTCCTCATCGCGCATATGCAGATTTAGTGAATTCTCCGTTTCGAGCTAATCGCTCTTATCAGTCCTCATCAGCTGTTATCAGCACCTTATTGCTGCTGGGCCGCGCGTTATAAATTTCGTGACATTTGCGCTCTAGCGCTCCTTATCAGCCCTTATCAGTTGCTATCGCTTTCAGTCACCCACCAACAATGTCCCCGTCCCACCCCACATAACACTTGTAAGTATGGTTGCTCTGGTGTCAACGCGAGCCAGGCAACGGAATCGACGACTTTTGCGTTCTAGCGCATCTTATCAGCCATTATCAGTTGCTATCGCTTCCAATCATGTACCACCAATGTCCCGGGACCGCCCCACATAAGACTTGTAAGTATAGACGCTCTTTACCAATATGAACGGCAAAACGAAATTGGCGATGCTCGCTTTCTAGCCCCTCTTATCAGCTATTATCAGTCGTTATCAGTTCCTATCACGTACCACTTGTGTCCCCATCCCACCCCCTATAATATATGTAAGAACCACTGCGCTATCGTTACTGTGACTCGAGCTATGAATTTCCGTTCAAACATACACACACCAACAGACACACGCTAGCCGCTTATAATCGAGGATTTTGGATGCGTATCAGTAAGAAAATATAGATCAAAGTTCGTCCTGGCTGTTTCCACCACTTTTGCTTTTTGTCGGAATCGTCACTAATTTTCTCGTGACCTCCTTTCACCTTCTGAACGCCCTAGAGTGAATTGGGGGCCGAAAAATACGCTAGCACTGAGAGGTTCGACAAAGCACTTGAACTTAAACTTCCCAACGCTGAGAATAGGAAAAGGAAATGAAGCCTCTGCGGTAAACTGGGCCGGGTATACCCCGGTGCTGTAAATGGTAGCCGAATTGCCGAAATTGAGAGATCGGGTATATTCTGGTGCTGGGTCGAAATGGTTCCCATAACCCAGCATTCCTATAAGAATAAGTTTTTCTGCAAGTTTCTGAAACGCATTGCGTAAATGTGGCAAATATACGTTACCCCTCCAATTCTTCTTTTCCCACTCCGCTAGACGAAGTGTCTGGAGAAGTGCGAAAAGTCTCTAACAGACTCAAGAGCAAGGATGGTTATAATAAAAAGATGGATGCATTCAATGACTAAGGGAGCTACAATGATCCAGGGTGTTCATACCCGAAGCATAGGACAGGGAAAAAGGCTAACCTATTCGATAAATGTGGCCTCCCAGGGAGGAAGTTGCGACGTCAACAGCATGGCGAACCACTTGGTCTTGCTTCCTATTCGCTCCAGGGGCCGCAAACGCCCACCAACTGACGCTGCTAGGATGCTAGCATGCTTAACACAGCAATACTCCTGCTATCATCAAGTCAGCCATCATAGATCAAAGCCTTTTTTTTCTGCTTCTTTAGCAGTGTGTCTTCTGTAGTAGTAACGTCTGGGCAAAATGAGCCATATCCTTGGCGGTAACTGAAGCCTAAAAGCGAAAGTTATGAGGGCCCATTTTGATTTTTCCTGGCTTATTCCCACGGCGCCTGATTAGTCCTCCTCTTGTACTTTTGGAGACCTATGCTTCTCGTAACCGCTGCCCATGGCGCAATTGTTCACCCTCGTTTGAAGGCACGGAATTGGCACTCTTTACTTTGTTGTTAATCTTTTTGGGCTATACAAGTCGTATATCGTATACAGACGCTAGTAGAAAGGGGGTTCACATTGGGACGTACATGTCAGTAGTAGCGCATACATATCGGTGTATAATTATCCTACAGTATCCATTCACGCATTTAACCTATGGAAATCCACAGGAACTCTTCGACCTCTCGGGTAAAATAAGTGGACTTTCCTATGCTTATTTGCCATTCCTGTGCGCTGACGTCGTGATAATTACCGTACGCCTTCACGGTCTTTCAACGCTATTATAAATGGGCGACCATCGCAATTGCTGATATTTTGTGCCGTAGCGCCGGATTGAAATTCAGCGACCATACGATGTCCGGCTTGATTTTGACAACAGGCCACAACATGGAGCTCAAGCTCCTCGGATTAGCGAATCAAATCTCGAATCTCAAAGGTTCCGTCATCGTGTTGACCTTATTTAGGTCCCAAAGCTTGAGTGAATTTGGGATTATATCTCCCATAGAAAAATAGAAGCAGCATTTGGCCAGGGAGGCCTCAATGGTAGCATCGGTAGTCAGGCAGACAACAACTGCAAAAAGCCAAAAGCTTCGTAAGAGACAGCAATTAAACTAGTTCTCACCGCAGTACGCCCAACTAGAAACTTTATGCACGATTGCTCAGTTTGTGTTTTTTTACTATTAGTCTGGTTTTTGATGAATATGTGTTTTACAGATCACCACTTACGCCCTCACGCGGGTACGGTAGCGATGATTGAGCGGCAGATGTCCAAAGCACCTGTGACGACGGTAATGCCAACACCGACATCAACGGAGAGAAGTAAAGCAAAATAAGAGGACACTTTCACGTAAATTCAGCCTGTTACGAGTCATAACAGTTATGTAAAATATAGTTTCGGAGGGAACACAAAGGAATGTGCGAAGAAATCAATAATCGATTTTTCAGAGTTCACGGACTCTTTCTACTGGATGTCCCATCTGCACAAGAAAATTGGTCTCAGCCATATCATTCTCTTCTGATAATTGTATGCTATACGAAGTTATTACGGAGCGGTCGTTTTCTACTACCTTGAGACACCTAACGAACGAGTGGTAAGAAAAATTACGATTGTAAGATATTGAACCATTTCAATTCATGAGGGGGGGGGGAGGTAATGGGAGCTCAAATTTTGAGTCGCATTGTCTGTTCAACCTACCAGCAGCCTTTTCATAGAATTGTTGTGGAAGCAAGTTCGCCCAGATTCTGCAAAAATTGCCTTGTAACTCAAGAAACATTCAGACGACTAGACTCAGAAAAACACCCGATCGAGAATAATCAGCGTCGAAAACAGGCCCGAGCAGCGCTCAAAAACATCATTCAGAGCAACTATTAGTGAAATTTATAGCTGGGTTGGTGTGCTGATAAGCTTATCCACAAGCGAAGTCCTAAGGGTAAATCACGCGGGGGGGGGGGGGGGGGTGGGGGGGGGGCGGGGCGGGGGGGGGGGGGGGGGGGGTCGTTGGTTCATCTCGCTTGCTACAAAGCTTTTAGTACTTTGTGGTTGGAAATTGGTAATACAAGTTTCTCACCAAACTATACACAACGATCGATTACACTGGCTTCCCACCCGCCCTTAAAGGAATCTTGCGCGGAAAATTCTTGCACTCTTTCCTAACATGAATATGTCAGTTGTGATCACTGGAAATAGCACACAAAGTTTCACGCATGAAGATTCGGTTTCTGAAGAGAAACAAACGTACAAAAACTACACGTTATGGACCATCGAAGGACCAGGAGGCAGAGCCAGGCGAGGCATGGAAAGAAGACGGCGTTTGGCCGGCTACGTACCAGGCGACGCAATGAGAGAATCGGGTTAAAGCGCGCGATTTCGGAGAGTGGAGACAAATCGATCGATGGAATAGGATGGAGTAGAAGTGTAAGATGTGAATGCAACGAAGCAGAAGGCCAGAAAGAGCTTCTAGTGAATGCACTCCAAGAACCAAGTTTGAGCATCCCCGTCGCCAGCATTCGTGAAAGACGTCCGTGGGCAATTCGAACGCGTAGCAGCCTTTTCGAGTTTTCGAATTTCTAATCAAAACGAAAGCAATACTTCAGTTCTTTTCACTATTATCGTGGATAATGAGTCTCAAGCCAGTGATTTATGGCTGAAATAGAATCATGATTTTTCCGCGCAAGATTCCTTTAAATATAGAGGCAGAGTTTGAAGAAGGAATTTAGCGTGTTGCATACCAGAAAGCTTTGGTCTTAAGCAAAAAAGCTCGGCGCAGAATATTTTAATTATTTGTGCACCGATTCTGGTGAATCGCATCGATCAATATATCGATTTTTCATCCTTCTCTATTCCTTTCAACGTGACATAGTGTGACTCTTCAGGTGATTGCTGCACGCAAAGAGATACTGGATAATCGGATCGAACAACTTGCGGAATATCTCACAGATATGGCGGAGAATAAAACTGTCGAAGAGTTAGCCTTGGAAGTCAAGGTAAAATTTAGTACGATTCTTAGCATCGTGCTCTGCTCAGAAAAGACGGCACCTTTACTAGCAAGCAGGACGGCTGAGGGTTGAAGTTACATATGGATTTCCAGCCAGTTTTCAGGGTCCCAGCCAAAAACTAATCAGAGCTAACGTTGTCCGCTCTCCCTTGGATCCGCGTTTTTTCGTCTCTTATTCTTTGCTCTCTAGTTGGCACTCATTATCTTTTACCTCGGTGCCTGCCCTTGAACTCCTACGCTGATTGGGAGAAAAAGAGTCCTTACTGTCAGTGTTTCCGGTGCTTCCTTTTCTTTTTTCCCGGCGGTTTCCACTCCCACTTTCATTATTGAACGCACTTTCCACGCCCAACTTCATCGTGGGTATGCTAGAAGAGAAAGAAAGGACCGTTATAATGTAAGTGTTAGAAGGATCGAGAGAGGCCCAAATCTCGGATCCATCTCATCTCTAGTGCTGACCTTCTGAAGCGGCGTGTAGTCTCCCACTTTTTGCCTTTTATAATTGTGGCATCTAGCCAGGAGAACTGAGATGCGCCGCTATTTGCTAATGTCTCCAGCTTTACTCCTTACCCCTACCCGGTAATACTATCTTTTCAGGCAGCATACATTGACATGCTGAACACAGAAGGCAGAGCTATAAATGGTCTACGTTCCGATCGATCATCTGATCCGGAGAACAACTACAAATGGACGTATGCAAGCAGCTTTTTCTTCGCGATGAACGTCTACACAACAACTGGTTACGGTAAGCAGTTTGAACTGGTTACGGTAAGTAGTTTCTGGAACGAACAAAATCCGGTTTCATTGAAGGGCACTGCCTGCCCTTAGATTGTTTAGGATACAGTCTGAACTGTATCTTACTGTTTTCTTACTGACCGACTGTGGAACCTGGGCCTCAGAAGACGACGATTTTGTCGAAACGTTAGGCCGATTGAATAAATGTTCCACCACCTATCAACCTCGAACGGCAGAAAAAACAAACACAAATAAGAACATTCTAGGCTGTTCCAAAGAGATCTGATGAACGGATAAACGCTGTCGTAGCGCTAGATGAACCTTCTGCTTTTGACTCTAGAAGAATTAAGACGTCAACATTCCTGTGGAATCATAGATTAGGCATGATAAACACTCCCTGAATGGACTTCTGAATCTTTGTGCTAGCATCTGAGCTTTCAATTTGTTTCAACACAACAACAACAACAACAACATCAACAAAAACAACACTTTTAGGATCAATCGCTCCTGAGACCCGTGCCGGTCAGTGGTTCGTCATAATCTATGGTTTCATATTCGTGCCGGTCACGCTGGTGGTGGTCCGTGACCTCGGCCAATGGCTACTCTTGGTTATTACGAGATTTTATGCCAAGATGCTGTTGAAGTACAGGTATGTACTGACAGGTGATCTTATCAAATCGAACCCCATAGCGGCGGGTTCTATGAAAGCGGTGTGTGGTAGAGAATACTTGAAAACAAAACGGTTGTTGCTGTCCAGTTGCTCCTAGCAAGTGGAAACAAAAAAAGCGATAACAGCAATGAAACAGCTTTTCTATCTTTATGGGATACAGCGAAGGTGAGCTTCTCGATCTCTCTGTAAAATCGACAGGGGTTTCATTGCTTTGAATGTCTCAAGCGTTTTCTCGGTCGTTTGCGAAGATATGGATGGGGAGGGGGGGGGGAGCTCCGAGGCGGGTGAAACCTTTAGCCGATCCTTCTGTCCTTCAAATCCTTGAAACTTTCCAACTCAAGCGACCACACCGGTTTTCGCTAGATATTTTGAGTTTACTTAACTCAAAATGTTCCGATTTGTTCGGCTTGACGTGGAGATCGGCTGCAGATGATCAACAGCGATGTCAGATTGTCTCAAAAGATTCTTTCGCAATACAACCCTTTTGCTCCAACTTGTGATGGTTCCAAGAATGACATTGAGCTCTTAGCAAATGGTACCAAGCGACATGCTCACATACCATCCCCAACACTTTCCGGCAGACCTGGGTGGGTGCAGGTTTGGGCTGAACTTTGAAGGACGGAGTGGGGTTATATACAAGACCGCTGGAGCAGCTAGGATTTTCACCGCTATTTCATTCAACATCCATCCTCACTCTTCCCACCTACACAATATCCTTCTTCCTACTCATATTGGGCGAATACGACCGTCTGTCGAGAAATTCTGGACAGTGGTTCACGCTGACGGAGAGAAAGAAATTGCTCTGTAGGGGTCAACTCACAACCTTCTTAAGCGGTAAAAAATGGTACTAGTGGTTTTTATGTAGAATCCGGTCTTCCCTCTTTTCTTGTCATTTTATCGTTCAACTTTTTCCTGTCCCCTCAAGAGTCCTCTTTTTACAGACGCTCCACTGGAAGAAAGTCGGACAATACTAACGAAGTGATACGATTGCCAATATTTATCAGTTGCCTTATAATGATCGGTGAGTCCCTTCTCATTTTACCATATGAGAAATCTTCTTGAGGAACGCTTCCATAAATTACTACGTAAAAATTTCTCTACTCGACCGATCTGGTCAGAGACACAGAAAAACCATTGGAATCTGCTTGTCTAATTGCTGGCCAAAAAGTATAAGCAGAGTAATGATCGCTAATCTTTCTGCAGGTTTCATTGGTTTCTGTACGGTGTTTGTCTACTATTTGGACGCGTTTTCTGGACCACCTGGCACTGGCATTGACTGGTTTCATTCGCTCTACTTCTCCTACATGTCATTCACAACCATTGGTCTCGGTGATGTCATGCCTAACAATGCCACGGTAGGTATTCTACGAGATTTGGAAAGCTGCACGTCAACTCTTACCTCGAAAATAGGCTATTTATCAAATCCGGGGGCCGCTAATCCTACGAAGCGATCGATATAAGTAAGAGGATAGGGGATGATTTCATTGAAAACTCCATAAGAGGCAGCAGCTATCACAAATTGCATTCGAGCTTTGAACGCGTCTCAACCTTAGCCGAGGATGAAGGCAGAGCAGGCGCTATCGCCAACGATACGGGGCTTTGTGGTGGCATTATTTAAACCAGTTGGCGCCGCACGCATTGCGCGCGCAACACAGATCTGTGGCGAATTTTGATGGTGCGACGAAAAATTTCAAATTTGGCTTGATACAATACGAATATCTGAATTCTCCGCTAAATTCTATGCGCTCTTTCTTCGTCAACCATTATCCTATTTTTCTCGGTCCTCGGCCCGGACAATAAATCTCGTGGCGAACTCCGTCTACTTCGGTGCGTGCCCTGCCGACCAATAGCATTTGGCTCCCTTCTTTTTCCGACCTCTACCCCCTTTTTCACCGGTCTCTGGGACCTCTTGGAACCAAATTACGACACTTTTGGCAAACTCCGCCCACTTAGGTGCGTGCTCTACCCACTAATAGCATTTGACCTCCTTTCCTTCGCCGACCTCTACTCCCTTTTTCCCAGCCTCCTGGACTTCTTGGGGCC